TTTTTTTTTTTTTTGTATTTCCCGGAGAAGTTAAGACTTAGCTGGTTAGAAACACAGGTCAGAGGCTATTGTAATGAACTCCATAGGGTATTCAATATTTTTGCAATAGGGGAATTTTATTGTAATGAATGCACTGTTTGGAATCCCATTCCCAATCTACAGCTCCTTCAGACCCACCCTCAGAAAATGAAGGTGCAAGAATCACACAGACCCAGCAGGAGCAAGGAAGAGGTTCTTGGCTGTATTTGCCACTCCTGTTGGGCAGGGCACCTTTTTCTTTCTATTCTGAGTATGCTGTCTTGTTTAATTGGAAGATTTGGGGTGTTAACATTTTTCCTGAGGCAGTGGGATTAAGTGATCAAGAAGGGATAGTAGAAGGAAGCTGTCACTTGCTGGTGGGGGAAAAGTGCCTCCCTATCAAATGAATTATCTACTAAGAAACATCAAGCAACTAACACTCAATGGGCATTTTCATTCATCTATTCATTATCTGTCTATCTATTCATCCATCTCCCTCTCTCTCCTTCTCTACCTGCCCACTCTCTCTCCCAACCCACCCAAGCCTCCCTATCTTTTTTTTCTCTCTCTCCCTTCCTCATTACTACACTACACACTGTATTATTATATTGATCATTGTTGATCTACAAAAATGACAATTTCATATAGTTCAACTTTATACACACATTTATTCAATAAATACTCATATATGATTGAACATGTGAAATTGTCATTTTTTGGAAATCAAAGAGGTAATTTCTTATGGCTCAGCCTAATAATGTATTATAAACATATAAAATATTTTTTATATTATTGAATAATTTCAAAACATGGCATTCTGAATCTGATGGCATGTATTCTAGTCCTATTTTTACTATGTATTGGCTATGGATCCTTGAGTAAGTGATTTAATAACACTTAATATCTTAGAAGGGCAATGGTAATAATAATTATTACTATTGTTATGAGGATCTAACTGAGCTCTCTATGTGAACATGCTTTTCAGACATTAGAGTGGAATGCAATCACAAATTAGTTATTGTTGTCACCAATGATATGTGACATTCTTTACACAATGGCTCCATTGTTCTTGTATCACTTGTAGGAGCTGTTAAAGACGTGGTCCCTTCTGCACTCAGGTCCCCTCCCTCTCACCAGACCTCTCCAAGGTCTCAGCAACACAAAAATCTAGTTTCTCCTAAGCTACTAAAAAAAAAAAAATGTGTGAACATAAAATCTTATAACAAATAGTGTTTCTGTCTTTGCTTTACCATCTTGTAAGCCTTTGAACCAAATTATTGGCTCCCTGAAATGACCAAACAGCATCCATATCTGCCCTCGGCTTCATCTAATACTCTTGTCCATATTTTTTCTAATACCTCTGGTTTTTTTTTGTTTCTATTTTACACTTTCATGCTACCCACCTGAACACTAATATGCCCCCAAACATTTTTGGAACAAGATAAGGTAAAAACAAGCAAAGAAATAAATATACCAAGCAAGCAACGGTTTGTTTTCCTTCCTCACCCTGATCTAATTGATCTGGGCCATATGACAAGACACAACACAGAGCTCATGTCCTTGCAGCAACATGTCTTTAGTTGGACTAGAAGAACCAACCTCCACTGCCTCTGCTAGCTGTTTACTGTGTCCTTATCACATAGAGTGTTAAGTGTAGCGAATCAAACAGATAACTCAGAAATAACTTATGAGTGTGCATTGCCAGGGACCCACAGACCCAAAAGGCTGAGAAAGGCAGCCTCCGTAGCCTTGGCATGACACTTCTGATCTGTGGTGGAAATGGCTGCTTGCCATCCCTGACTCGCCCTTGTTCTTGGCATGAGGGAACCACTCTGGGTGAACAGAGGGTCAGCTGCAGAGCCTTGCAACAAGATCCAGCATTTCAAGAACACCCACTCAATCATTCAGACTCTCCATGGTGGCTTCTCCTCTGGCCTAAAATATTTGCTTAACTAGGTTTGAAAAGCACATATTCTCTCAGGCTCCTGGGACCATTGTGTAAGTCCTGGGCTTAGCCCCCAAAGCCATCTGAATGAGTTTTCATAACTTCCTAGAATATCTAGCTTGCCACTAGCCCACAGATCAGGATTAAGAGATTCTGTCTCTCTCCATTCATCTATCCATTGACCGTAGATTGCTTCCATATCTTGGCTATTGTAAATAATACTGCAATGAACATAGGGGTGCATATATCTTCTTGAATTAGTGTTTTCATTTTCTTTGGACAAATACCCAGAAGTTGGGTATTTGTCCAAAAAAACACCCAGGGAATTGCTGGGTTGGGATAAGTTTGCTCAGTGACAGATGATTACTAGACTTAGTGTGGTGATCACAATGTAAGGTATATAAATGTCGAATCATTATATTACATCTGAAGCTAATATAATATTGTATACCTACTATACTTAATTTTTTTTAAAACAGAGGTTCTGTCTCCATGTATCACACTCTCACAGGCAGACACATTGCATCTCTCCAGAAGGAGGAAAGAGCTACATAACAAAGTAAGAAGGGAGCATGGTGTGATACACAAAATAACTTGGAAGTCATAAATTCTGTGTCCAAATTATTGCCCTGATCTAGTCTAACTGTGTGATCTTGGGTAAGTCACTTAACTGCTGTGCACGTAAACCTCCTCACCTACAAGGAGATAATAGTGACCTCATAAAGTTCTTATGGAGATTAAATAGAGTATCACATCTGAAAGTGCCTAGTGAAGAGTGTACATTAGGTAAACCGAAAAGGAATTTCAATTCCTCATTCTCATCTACACAAACCACAAACCATGTACGCTCTTCCTCTGTAAAAAAGAGATAGTTTCACTCCCCCACCCCTCCCACCCCAGAAGCCTTTGGGTAATAAAATGAGCTCAAATCCAGCTAAGGGAAAAGAACAAATGGCAGGAAGGACATTTCATCAGCAAATTGGGCTCTTCCTCCACAAGTCAGTGAGATGGAGGAATGCAACTCGCCCTCGAAAGGCTGAGTAGCAAAACCCAGGGACAGAGGGCAGGGAGAGGTGGGCAGTGGAGAGGGCACTTACTTCCATAAGGGGAGCCTGTGGGGGAGCCGTTTAGAAATCCTGGTGACCCTGGAACACCCAGGTTGGCCATGGGAACGTTGCTGTAGCCATTCATACTGTTACTGGAGGTGCTGTAATTAGACTGCTGAGGAGTAGAGCTGGAAGAGTAGCCCCGCGGAGAGATGCTGCTTGTATTGCGGATGTATCCTAGGCAACAAAGAAAATTCTGGGTAAATGAACCAGTGCGCACGCGCGCACGGTGCAGGCCAACTATGGCAGCACAGATCCACGTGGGCCTGCAGGCTATAGAGGACCACCAAGCCCACCCCAGAAAGGGTAGAAAGTGTACATTTTGCCTTCATCCTTTTATACCTTCCTCTCCCTTTCCCATCCTACATAAGGTTATGCCCCTGATAGTCCCTCTCTCGTCTTCTTTCACATTTGCAGTCAACATTGCCCATTCATACTATGGAATGAATGACTAAATGGCAGTGTGCACTGACATATCCCAAACCATATTTCAAATACACTTGAGCCCTATAAGATATTAATAGGTATCACTGAGAAAAGCATTCTATGGCCAAACAAAGCTTGGCAAATGTTGCGTACTATAGCCATTCCTTGAAGATTTACATATGAAGGGCCTAGAGAATAACTAAATCCGTTTAACTATGCCAACCTAGTGTTTCCTAAATTTAACATACCATAGCATCTTATCTGGGAGTAGTGAGGAAAAGGCATTCTAATAACATCTCAAGGGCCACTAGTATTCTGCAGATTACAGCTTTGGAAATGTTAATTCAAAGTTGTTACCATGCCCTGTGTGAGGATGGGGAAATTTTCATTTAAAAAGTGTTGATAAGTTCATCTAAAGGTGCTGTTCTTTGACCAAAGACTTGGACCATTAGCAACGGAGTTTGGGTAAATTCAGCCTGTAAGTGGGATGGGGGAAGGGACAATGAGTCCTCCCCATACTTCTGAAACCCTAGCACAGATATATCAACTGATCTCTCCTGAAATAATCCACTTTGGGTAACTGTCTCTAGAACTATTTAGGAAATGACCCAAATTTGGAAGGAAAAAAAAAAAAGGTAATATATCCCCCCAACCCTTTTGTAAGAACTAACCCTGGGTGTAAGAATGAGGAATTAATTCCCTTCTGATGGCTGAATGAAATTAGAAATAAAACTATCCCAAGGTTAGGGGCATCATTAAGAACATTCATTTTTGGGCTGGCCGAGTGGCGCGTTGGTTAAGAGCTGGCTTGGGATGCCAGAGGGCCCCGGTTTGGATCCCACATATGAGGGCCAGTGACACTGCCCTCTGCAGCTAAGATGCTGAACAACAGCTCAACCTGGAGCTGGGCTGCCGTTGAGTCACCGGCGACGGCATAGGCTGCAGCCCCTGTGGCAGTGGGTTGCCATGGGCTACTGTATGTAGCCAGCAGCCAGCGTGAGTGGCCAACAGCCGCCGTAAGCGGCCGCCAAGAAGCCGGCGACTGATCTGCCTCGCCCGGGAAGGTGCAATGATGGTGCCAACTTGGGCCAATGAAGCAACGTCCTCCACAAATAGACTGAAGAACAAAAGGACAGCAACCTGTCTGTTCCCCTTCCCCCAATTCCCCAATAAGAAAAAAAAACATTCATTTTTTATAAAAAATGATTTATGAGGGCCAGTCAAGTGGCTCAGTTGGTTAAGAGCTCACTCAAGAGTGCAAGCTCTGAGCAACAGCGTTTCAAGTCCCGCCCGAGCTGAGCTGCCAACAGGTGGCAGGATGGCTCAGCTGAAAAAAAAAGATTTATGATAAATTTAGCACCTTCATAAAATCAACATCAACGCACCCAAATTTGTACATGATATACTTTACACATAAAAGCAGTTAACCATACAAATTTGAACCAATCTTTTAAATCTATAAGATGTCTGAATTTTGACTCTGAGAAAAGTAGTACCTTGATTATTTCCCTGTGTTGACTCTGAGATGCTGACCCCAAGTTGGCTGCCATAAGAATTGATGCCCATCATGCCACTGTGAGCTGGAGAGCTGGAAAGAGCTGGGATCTGGCTGGGGTTCCTGGGGACACTGTACAGAGCTTCAGCAATGTCTGCAGCTCGCTTCAAAATGATGTCCTACAAAATGGCAGGTTGAGGTGAGCATTTTATCCAGCATGAAGAATCAAACTCAACAGTGTAAGATGTGAGCACCTAACCTGGTTATTGTGTGGTGTGCCATAGAGGGCCTCCACGAGATCTGCAGCTCTTTTCAACAGCATTTCCTAGGAAAAGAAAATAAAGGGTGGGGTATACACAAAGAAAAAAAACCCAAATGGTAAACACAAAGGAAAATTATGTATAGAAATAACAAGTCCAGGCATCCCCCAAAAGAGGTCCTATATTTGGCTTAAGAGGTATATGTATCTATATGTGTCTACATGAATATATGTTTCTACATGGAATTCATCTCGATAAAATGGTTCCATAAATGGTTGTGGTACCAAAACAACCAAATTGAGGGTGGAGTTGGTTAAAATTAATCAAGTCATGAAAGTTTTATTAAGAACAACTCTCAGACCATTCCATGAAAAAAATCTGGTTCCCTAATTAACCAAGTATTCTTAAAATGATTGATTGACTTGTGGTTAGCCGCTTGCCAAGGAGTTGTCCATAGTACTGAAATTATCTTGGCAATGCCTTCCGCAAAATTTTATTCTAGTAAAGATGAATTCTTTCAATAATATTCCCTCCTGTTCACTTTAACCAGAGAGAATTAGTATTCAGTAATCCCTTTCCTCTCATTTTGTCTTTTCCACCTCCTGTTTTTAACAGCCTTTTAAATTGCTATTAACCTACTTTCCAGATATCATCTAATTTAATGGTGGGACTGGGGATTTTTCCAAGTGGAAAATAAAGGTGTGATGTGATGTAGAAGCAACTGTGGTACTTGGATTTTACTCACAGTACAGAAAACAGAACATGGCATAGTATTATGTGTGTGCTTAAAATGCAAATACAAATGTTACAATTTTATACTTTCTCATTAATGGAACGCCCAATAAATTGATGTATTTTTTTAAAAATGGAAGCTAAAATAATGCGCCAGATTCATGATATAATTTTCATAAACAAGTTCCTTTAAAAGTGATGCATTTCATAGGAATTTTAGATAAAGGTGTTTTTCACTTCATTAAATGCCTGTGTAAATACTAGGCCCTCAATGAATACTTGATTGTGGATTAATATGCCCCTGCAAATATGGATAAATAAAATTATATTTAAATACAAAGGAGTAGAAACTTACACTTTTAGGCAATTATACAATTATTTATTTTTGTAAAATTGGCAATGTTTTACATTCATAGTGTGTCTGTTTTATAGGCCCAAGTTTTCAGATTCCACAGGTCCACAGAGATTCATCATAATATATTTCATAGTTAGTAGATATTTTATGTGCATCTTGTATCTAAAGCTTAGCCAAATTTCAAGGCCTAATTTAATTTTAAAGGAATGTAAGTGGCTGGATTGATCTAAATTTGCTGAAATCCTACAAAAAGGTTTTCACATGTCAATTTCCAAAGCGTTTTACCTTAGCTAATCTCTCAGGATCTCCAGGGTGCCTCGGGATAACTTTCTGCAGCCTCTGGAAGCCGTAGTCTATGGTGGGTTCGTTTAATGCTGAAAAATAAAAGTCTCCTTTCTGAGTATGGATCCTGGCCATAAAGAAAGCTTCTAATTAAGTCTTCCAATTAAGGTAATAGAAAGGTTCTGATGTTATCTGCCTAAGAATGGATGCATAATGGATACAACCAGTTAAAGATTTTTGCTACTGACATTGATTAATTCACACTTATAAGTTTGGAGTTAATAGTAATTTCATGCTTTACCATTAGAATAATATTTCAAAA